TCTTGCGGAATGAGGGTCCCTCCGCTTTCCTGAAGGGGGCCTACTGCCGCGCCCTGGTCATCGCCCCACTGTTTGGCATTGCCCAGGTGGTCTACTTCCTGGGCATCGGGGAGACCCTGCTGGGGCTGCTGCAGAACCCCCAGCCCTGAGCCTGGGCCCCCCCACCCGCAGGACTAGAGTGGGCCTGGGGCTGGGCGGCCCGCCCAGGACCAAGCAGGGGAACGTCTCTCCACCCGTCCCCGTGTGGATGGGGGCAGAGGGAGGGGTGCAGGGTCCACACACATGGACCTGAGGGGTCCTGCCTGCACAGTCACGGGGATCAATGTGTTATTTATGTAGAAATCTTTACATTCCCGGAGCCAGCCCTTTCCAGCTCCACCCTGGCCTGGGCACCCCAGGGACAGAGCTGGCCTCTGAGCCGGGGGCTCCCAGGTGAGGGCTGGGCCGGGTGGACCCTCTGCTCCAGGCTCCCGGCTCATCCCCAAAGGGGAGGCTGCACAAACCTATTTATTAACTTGCTGAGCACAAGTGGCTCTGTCCAGCCCTCCGCCCGTCCATCGGTCCAGCCTCCCCCCTGCTGCTCTCACCTCGGCCAGCCTCGCAGGAGAATCGGGGTCTCCTGCCCCCCACATTGAGCCAGGAATCCCAGGCAGGCGGGGGTCCACACTGAGTCTTGACTCCCAGGGAAACCCCACCCCCAACTGTGGGACCCAACAATCCTCCTGGTGGGCCCCTCTGCCCCATCCAGACGGGGGGCCCAGAGCGTGTGAGAGGTCTGTGTGCATATGGGAGAGCCGCGGCCCTTCCCACGTGGCCAGGCAGTGCGTGCGTGTGCGTGTGCTGTGTAACCTGTGCCCGCTGACCCTGTCCAGAGTTGTCTCTCCAGCCCAGCCCCTCTTGCTGCATCCGCAGCCGACTGCTCTTCTGAGACCTGCCCCCGGGTCTGACCTTGGCCAGTGGAAAGGGCAAGCATGACCAGTATGGAGCCAGGGGCGCCTGCTCTGTGTGCAGGGGTGGCGGCCAGGAGCTGCCCTCCAGCCACCCTGCTCTCTGGGCCCCTGCAGCCCCACCCGCCCGCTGTCCAGACCCCTCCCCATTGTGAACTGAGGCAGGCGCCCGCCCTGCCACCCCTGCCGGGTGATCGTGTTGGTGATTGGTCCTGACGTGCCGGTGCTGTGTCCCCCACCACCCAGGCCCCCTCTGAGGAGGCCCCTTCCCAGCAACACTACCTGGGGCCGAGGCCTGGCCCCCAGTCTGCGGTTGTGCCCGTCATCTGTTGTTCCTTGGGAGCTGCTGCTGCTGCTTACAGATTTATATATTTTTTCTTTTGAGGAGTTTTACGAAGTGACTTTTTGTGTCTTGTCATGTAAGAAGATAAATAAATATTCTAAGTAGATGCTCCTCTCAGACTCTGTTAGGGGCTGGGGGCGGGGGGAGCCCCTCTTATAACCGACCTCCCCTGCAGGCCTGGGTCCCCCTGCCCCCTTGCCGATGGGCACGTTGGCCCGACTACCGCGCTGTCTGGGCTGGGGTGCGGGAAGGCCAGCCTGACCCTAACCGGCTCTTGGGGTTAAAAACGGAGCCAGGCCAGGCTGGTGTAGCTCAGTGGTTGAGCGTCCACCGATGAGTCACGGTTGGATCCGCTGGGGCACGTGTTACGGGCTGGATCCCCAGTGTGGGGCGCGCAGGAGGCAGCCAATAATAATTCTCTCATTGTCGTTGTTTCTATCTCCCTCCCTCCTTCTCTGAAATCGATAAAAATATATTTGGGGAAAAACGGAGCCGGGGTGGGGCCCAGAGCGCCCTGTGGTCCCGGCGCCCGCCGCAGTAAGGCAGGGGGCGGAGCCTGAGCTGATGAGGCCCCGCCCCCTCATGCGCAGGAGCACTGCATTGTGGGAAACTCCTGGTCCTCGGCCGCAGCTGCTGCTCCAACCGCTGAAGCCCCGCACAGAGCACCCAGCGCCGAGGCGGGAGCGCCGGGAGCAGCGGTGTAAGGTGGCGGGGCTCCGGGGCGCAGGGCCGGGCGGGATGGGGGCGCTCGGCTTGAGGCGGTCCCCCGCCTTGAAGGTCACTCTCCCGGGCACAGGAGCCCCGGGGAGGGGGAGGGGGAAGGGGAGGGGCAGCAGGTGACGTCAGCGTGAGCTCAAAATAAGCGAGGGCCGTGGGGGAAGCAGACCACCTGCCCGTCGCAAACTTGACTCCCGGCAGCTGGGTGCGCCTC